ATGCAAACTTACAACAAATCATATTGTAAGACTATTATATATATTTTTGATGATTAAGATATTTGAATTTGAATGTATGTATCTGATTGTTGAAATTTTCTCTAAACTTAATAATTATGAGAAAAATCTTTATTTTCTCAAGTATCTAAATGTGCATAATTTTTTATAATTTTTTTTAAAAAAGTAATAATTGAAATTCAAACAACATAAAAACTAAATACCATTACTATTCAATAATTTTCATTAGCATCAATCATAATTGATGGTGATGTCACGAAAGTGTAATCATGGTAGGTGAAGATAATTAGTAATATAATTGTGCCATCGGAGTAATTCAGATAGGAAGTACTTTTATCTCTTTAATAAATTTAGTTAAAACACTCAAATATTTATTAAATTCTAAGAAAAAACAAATTTATGTCATTCATTATATTTAATAGTTGGGCTCAATCATGCTGTTACTATTACAGAAAGGTCTATTTGTGCCATTGTTTTTTTAACGGTCATATTTGATGATTTTGCAAAATCATTGTTTTCCATGTGACCTCTTATTATAAGTTTACGCCACCAAGATTAAACTGGTCAAAAAAAATTCAAATATATATATATTGTAATTTATTTTGTATCAGTAAAAAATAATGATTGAGACATTTATGATAAATTTTATGAAAAGACGAATGAAAAAAAAAATTTAATCATCAAATAATAAATCTAAATTAGCTGATGAATCAAATAATTGAGTAAAAAAAATGCATGAAAAAGATCAAATATACCTCTAAACTATTTTAGAAGGATAAAGAAAAAAACTTAGGCACATGCACCATGGCCAATAGTGAATAAAGATATATTTGGATCAATTTTATATCGATAGGGACGTAGTTTATCTTAACTATTGTTAGATGGTATTGTTTGCAACAAATTTTAAAGTGAAAGAAAATAAATTACAATAACAAATAAAATATGACGTACAATTCTGTTGATCCTTGATTCTACTCTCCTAAGATTTATCCATGATTCTAGGGCCGTTAGTGACATATTTCTCGAACTAGGATGATTTAGATTTGACCTCTAATATTCCATGACTTTTATGAAATATTCGAGATCTTGATCTTTAAAATTACCCAAGAGTTTATGGGATATTTGAAATGTCTTTTAAGGGAATTTTGTACCTTTTATATAGGTGTGAACTAGGGTTTACGGTTGAATAGCCTCCAAGAATCCTAATTTGAGTTGAGCACAATTTGTAGAGTCCCAACTCGAATTGAACGCATCTTGTAGAGTCCCACAAAATTTCAATGTTTATAGGTACACTTGGACCATTTTCTAAAATTCAAGGAAAAAAGCTAAAATATATGATCGAACTAATAGAAATGACTTATTTATATCATTTGTTATAAATTCAGTTCATCTATGACATAAATAAGCTATTATTAATAATTTTAATAACATATTTGAGTTTTTTTTCCCAAAATCTATTTCATTATTATTCAGTGAGTGAACTGGTAAAAAAAAAATACTACTAATATGTACTTAGGTAGGTGGCACATTATTATAGTAGTTATTCCTATAGGTACTATGGTAGGTGGCATATTACTCCAATAATTAATCCCGTGTACAGCACTGATTGTATATCTCTCTATCTATTTGGATCCTGGCGATAAACGATTGTCATGTTAGTTCAAATATAATGTTTGTTTTGATTATTATTTAAATTTTATCATATTATATCGTTAAATAATGTCGAAAAGTCTCATTTTGTGTAACGATTATTTGGTGTTATCGTGTCGTTACCTTAATTTTTTCATTTTATTTTTATCTTCACTTATTATTTTATAATCATATTTTTATTTTTTACCCTACTTTTTATAGTAACTCTACTCTACAATCTATTTTTCTTGTAGATTTATCTTATAAATTGTTGATAAGTGACATTATATAACAACAGAGCAAGTTGATTGTGTTTTGTAAGTATGAACAACAAAAAATGAAAAACTTGTATGGTTGTGAGACATTTTGATTAGCCAAGTCTCTTGATAAGGCTTATAAATACTATTGTTGTGGAGGAATGAAATGTCAACTACATTATTTGTATTGTCAATCTCTCAACATTGAAAGTATAATTGACTAGCTAGTATTATTACCATGGCACATAAATTTGCGATCCTTTTCACCATTCTCCTTGTGGTTATTGCTAGTAAGTCATTTCATTTTATTCCTACATTTTAGAAGGGAAAATGATCAAATTTAATTTTATCTTTCGTTATAGTACTTCTCTTGAAATTAGTCATTTGGCACAAATATATATTTGAACTTCAATAATAGGTATTTTTAGACTTTATAATTAAAAAATAGTTAATTATCATGGAGTCTCAAATTTCACAGTGAAATTTTTTGTGAAACTTGAAATTCCATAAAAATAGCTATTTTTTTCAGAATCAGGGCAAAAAAAATGGCCCGTGAACATACTTTCTACTACTACAATAGACACGTTGCTCAAACTACCACCAAGCCTTATTTCATCGAAAAGTAAGATAATGCGCAATTACCGTACACTCTACCTAATCTACGACCTCCATATACCCTCTTATCTAAGGTTATACCCTTGATAAGGTGAAATTGCAGTCTGCAGTATGTCTTGTACGTGTTATTATCTCTCCCTAGTTCAGCCTATCTCCACCTCTCCTCGTACCCACTATATCCAACCTCTCACACCTCCTCCTCACTAGGGCATCTGCACATTTCCTCTTCACATACATACTCATACAACCTACTTCACAACGGATGTCACTTCCACTTTGTCTCGAATATCCTCATTCCTAATATGATCACTTCTAGTATATATGTGAATTCAATATATATATATATATATATATATATATGTGGGGTATTAAATAAGTCATATATATTTGTGTACCGTAAAATTATCTCATTAACGACAAAATTAAAAGTTTAAATTCAACTTATTTCGAATACATTATTTTTTCAAAATTTATTTTTTGAATTTTGCGGCTCAAGATCATGTGATGGCCCAAGATGCTATACTATCAAGGGAAAATTGTATATAATAGCAAACTATTAATTCAAATTAAATGCTATAAATATAGTTTGATTTAATTGTACCTCATAGCAAACTGTTGCTATTTCACCTCTCTCCTGGTGAATCTCGCTGCCACTCTTGTTCTCTCCCTCGCCTCTCTCGTTTTTTATACAAACACAAGTGTATAAAGTGCGTTTGTGTTTGTATAAAGTGAGAGAAAATTGTATATATACATATATTTTCGTTCCCCTCTCTCCCCTCTCCCAGATCTCGCTCGCCACTCTCCCAGATCTCGCTCTCTCACTCGCCTCTCTCACTTTATACAAACACAAATGTATAC